ATATCAGAGTATATTATGGTTCCCAGACTTCCTGGCTGCAAGCTTCCAGACTCTCACCTCAGTCAGGTGAAGAACATGACGAGCGGAGAGGTGGTGTCGCGTGCGGAGTTTACATCATTGCAGTCGCTCTTCATGCACACCCTGTCGATGAAGCACATTCCGCTGCCCAAGATGATGGTGCGCCGTGCGGCAGAAAGCTTTTCGAAATGTAGGATCTTCAGCTTCAAGGTGCTTCGAGCCGTATTCAGGCGCCCAACTCCTGGCCCCAAGACCCGATGTTATGGACTCGCGACTTGTTTCGCGTGCGCGTGGAGGTTTCCTTTTTGGGGCTGCAGGACTTTGACCCTTGCCTCTAGCCAGGACGTTGTCAGGTTTACTACAAGTAGTGGGTCACGACTGCAGCAAGGCTCAGTACTAAACCCCTTAAGCCCCTACAGCCGAAACCCTGGGAAGCGTCCTAGTAATCAAAGCAAATACTGCCTCAGCCGATTTGGCATTCAACCTATGGGAGAGGGCTGTGTCACTAGGTCTCTTGAACCCTAGACCGTAGATGACATGGCTCAAGGCTTGCAGGTAGGCTACAGCTTCAAGGGTGCTAGACGAGATGGGTCGGGGCAAGAAGCGAGGCGGGAAGACAGGCCACCAACGACGTGAGGCCAAGAAGCAGCGACAGAGCGAGTCTGCTGCAGAGCAGACTGCACGCGAGGAGTCCAGGCCTCCTGCAGCTGTTGAAAAGAGCACGAGTTCGAGGCCGGCTCGCAGTGAGCCTTCTGGCGTGGAGCCTGTCTCTGCCACACCGCAGCACCCGGTCGTGACCGTGAAGAGGACGCCCTGGATGTCAGTGCCAAAGTTATAGCCGGAAGAACCCTTGGATGTGCAGCCCTCGCACCTGCAGGCCGTGGACGCTACGCGCCACCTACTCTTGTGCCGTTTCGGTGAGACCGTCCAGCACTCGACTAAGTCGACGGCCGGGCGCGATCCTGAAGCGGACAAGAAGAGGCGGCATGTAGGCCACCAGAACGTCGCTGTGAGAATTCATGACGGTGTTCGTCCCGAATTCGGGAAGTTTTTTTTGCACGACATGAAGGACGCACGTCCTGAAGGGAGTGTGTTCTCATGTCGTTGCACGTACATATCCCCAAAAAAGTTTTCCGATGTCGCCAAGGAGCGGCCGAGCCAGGTGGAGCCAGCTTTCTGGCCACCTTTTTGGCGTATCGACGAAAGTGTTTTGAAGGGGCGTGTGCAGTAAAAAAAAAATGGTATATGCATGGAAGAACCAAGGAGGACATAGACAGGGAGTACGGTGAGGTGCCAAATGTTCGGGAAAAGAGACGGCCGGATGAGGAGTCAACAGCACCGATGGAGGGACCCAGCCCCACACTCCCTGAGCCAGATGAAGAACGTGGAGAAGAAAGTGACGAAAACGCGCTTCTGGCAACGCGAAGGAGGAGAACGAATGAAGCAATGCTGAGGCGCCGTATCCTGTACCCCAAAAGACGCCGGTACCCGAGTCACAAGAGCCGGTCACCCCAAACGGACTTTGGAGATTGACACTGTGCCAAAACCCTCCATAGTGGCCCTTATGCTTGAGTGTTTGTCTCCTTTTTTGCACGGGCACAGCTTAGTCAATTCCCTGACGAGACTCGGGGCAACATAGTGTACATCTCAGGAGACGTTACCCGGGAAAGGAAAGCGCTGTTGAGTTTGGGTGAATATTATCTGTGAGTACTAGGTTGACCTGGCAACCCGGGAACGACTCTGTGTTGCATGTGTTTCTGCAATGTGCGTGTCGAGTTACCTCCACGCAGGTGCACTTGGGCAGGGAAGTGAAGTGGTAATGAATTTAAGGTATGGGCATTTGATTTCCTTGGGGTACAACAGGCCCACCAGTGCAGAGAACAGTGCCGAATCTGGGACGTTGAGCTGACTCCGCCCAGAGAGCCCAACCAGTATAACTGGTGGAGACTAATGCGTAACTGCTTCCTTGTGTCCCTTGGTCTAGTATTAACTGTCTTTGCTTTTCTCAAGCTATCAAACGACTGGCTTGGGCAGTGCCACGGGATATGGTTTGATGTAAACTTACGGTTACTATGGTGCATCTCGGTTGTGAGTGTTAGGAGGTATGTGGCACCGGCAAATGTGAACAGGAGGACTCTGCAGTGATGCTTGCTAGTGGGTAGTGGTGAGGTGGTGAATCCCTTTCGAAAAGAGCCTCCTGTTCTAGTCCCTCCGCCAAAATGGTGTTCCACCTAACCTTTCAGGGCAGACGGAAAAGAGGGTTCAAAAAAAAAAGGATGACAAGGCCTAACCTCCAAAATCAACTTTGGATTCCAAACCCTTCAAACCGACAGCCGCAAACCCGAGAAGTGCCTTGTCGGCTGGTCTTCAGGTGCCCGTGGGCTTGGACTCCGTGGGCCGTCCTGTGGGGCTGCAGCTTCTTGGGCGTGCGGGTCCACCCGGTGCCCCGGCAAGAATGTTTTGGGCTTTTGGGGCTTGTACCGTTTTCGGGTTTATGAGAAGCAGGCTTGTTTCAGGGCTTTTCGTGTTTCTGGGGGCCTGTGAGGCTTCAAGGCTTGCAGGGTTCAGGGGAAATTTCCTTTGCACATCAGTCGCTTGACCTTGAGGGTGTAGTAGGCTTTACGAGACCATGACAATATCCGTAGAAACGTACAAATCCCGTCGAATAAAGTGCCAAACCCTGAACCCTAAAGGTCGCAAACCCTTAAACCCCCAACCCCTAAACCCCTAAACCCCTAAACCCTAAACCCTAAACCCCTAAACCCTAAGCCCTAAACCTCGAACCCTAAGCCCTTAGCCGGGTTTCGGGTTCAGCGCTCGGAGAGAAGGTTCTCGGGGCCTCGGCTACTCCTACGACGCCGAGCTGCTCAAGGCGCTGCGTCGGGGGCTTTCTCAAACTCAACTCTCCCACAGTTTTTGGGTTTGGGTTTTAGGGTTGAGGTTTTGGGGGCGTAGGGTTCGGGGTTGAAGGTTTGGGGGCTCTTACCAGTAGGAATGCAAGCTTTCAATTTTACATACCCAAGCCCTACACTCCGGGTGCACGCTCGTCACCGTCAGGTTGTGGACGTGCCGTTCCTGAAGGCAGCAAAGGCCAGGCAAAAGAGTCAAAGGACGATTTCCCAAAATGTCGGTTAACACACTGAGGATTATCTTCTTGACCAGCACACGAACTAGCAGAGTGTTCTGCCTGTGGCACTGAAGTGGCAGTGGTGATATCGACGGCCGCTGCAGTACTAGCAGTAGCTGTAGCAGTAGGAGGAGGAAGAGAGGAGGAGGATGAGTAGTACGCAGTAGTGGCATTTGCTTTGGTGACAGCGACTATGGCAGCAGATAGGTTCAGTAGCAGCTTTGCAGCTTTGCAGCAGAACTCTGCGATGATCATCCTTTGAAGTGTGCGAGACTGCGGAGGCTCTTGTGGAGGCCATGGTCTCGGCAGATCCCTCCCTGAAACGGGTGGAGCCGTCCCTCGTGAAGGGGAAGGGCAACCTCTTCGAGTAGGAGGAGGTTTTTCCAGGTGTGCAGAAACTGGCCGCTCGCGGCTTTACTTGAAGGTTGTTGCGATGAGGTTTTTCCCAAGCCTGGACAAGTTCTGATCGATTTAATTGGCCTTCCGAAGACTCGGCTGCATGTTTCTTGCGGTGCTTGACTCCTTGACACTTGCAGCCGGGGACTTTGTTTGTTGATTTTGTCGCTGTGGGCTTTGTTCCCTTTGCGCCAAAGTGTTAAACACAGCTGCGAGCCTCGGCGCACAAAGAAATCTGCTCCGGGCTAATATTCGGTGGATTCAAATAATGTTCAGCAACCGAAGTCGTGGCGGGGAGGCTCGTCATCGGCGGCTTGTGCATTTCCGTTCGCCAAACGTGTAAAGAGGGTTGTCGATATTAGGATCCATTTATCAGTGCGAGTTCATGAAGAAGATGATGATGCTGGGTGTTGATGCTGACATTCCTGATACCGATGGCGATGATCGCAAGCATCCTCCTAGTCGTCGGAGTACTCGTTGTTGGGTTTGCGGATTTCCCTTTTGACGATTTCTCGAGATCGTTTGCGGCTTGGTTTCTATGATCATCGTTGTCGTCCGTCTGTCTGAATGCTGCTGGTGTTGGGAATTCACGTGGTTGCTGCTTGCCATGCTACTGTGGTCAGGCTTGGCTCCATTTCGCCTATAAGACCCAGTATCATGGATCTCGCCAGGAAGCCCTTCCGTGAGCAGCGGTCACAGGATTCATGCAAGCATGTAGGTAATTGCAAGTTCAGTGTCAGTAAGATCCATCTTCGTGACTGGTATTGAAGCATTAGCGTTGTTGTTGTTGTTGTTGTTGTTGTTGTTGTTGTTGTTGTGGCTGCTGTTGCTGGCATCCACGGTCTGCTGTCGCTTCTTCACAGGCTCAGTGTCAGGCAACTTGCCATAGGACCATAGGGACCTCAGCGAAGCCATCAGTATCCATCGGTGTGAAGGCAGCAGTCTCAACAACAGCCAGCAAGACGAGAAGTCTGCAGCAGTGGTGATGATGACGACGTCGAAGACGAGACGATCAGAGTTGAAGCTCTGTAGTCCTTGCAGTAGTCATGTTCCTGGTGATACCGGCCCAAGTCGTCTGGGAATAGCAACATCAGCAGCGGTTGCGTAGAAGCCCGAAGAGACCTCGATCCGTCTGATGGACCCGCTACTGACGCTACTGACAAGTTGCACCGCTCTCGACCTCTGCAGCCCTACAGTCGGGCAGGAGTTGTCTCAGCTTCTTTGAAAAAAGTAGTCAGACGGTCGTCAGTTTTGTTGTGTAGGACTTTTCACAGTACTGCATGGGCCTTAGCCAAGGCCAGCACAGAAGGATACTGCAGGTTCGACAACTCTAGCCAGTAACAGATCTGTTCTATTCTCGACAAAGAGCAACGCTTGGATTTTTGCTGAGTTTAGGGCCAGCACGGCTCAGGGGCTCCGTTGGTTTCACATTCCAGCGCCGTGCGTTGCAGCCGTTTGCATGGCGCCGGCCAATGCGAGACCAGGCCCAGGCCGGAGGGGAGAGGAGGCTGAGAAGGTTTTCCTGTTGATGATAGAAATCCTGCATTACCTTAGGGTACATTCCTTATTATGGCCCATGGGTAATGCAGGATGTATATCATCAACCGTCTTAAACCGAAAGGGGGCAGGGGTCCCTGTATGTTAGGCTTCTCTATTAGAGCAGAAGTATGAGATTACCCAGGTTCTTTTTGATAGATAGGGATCCCTATATCAAGGATCCTGCGTTTCGGGCTTCTTCATGTTCCTTCCATCCGAGCTCCATGGGTCTCAAGGTGTATTACCCTCTGGAAGAGACTCAGTAGAACTAACCGAGACAAGGCCAACTCCGTCTCGGTAGGTGCCGTGGGCTGCAAAGCCCAGAGCTCCGAAGCGCAAGATCTTTCGAAGTCCCAGGCACCGGGAAAGGCGTGCCGGTGCGGTCCGCGAATGCGAAGGACGGGACGAACCGTTTTTGGAACCGTTCCCGGGATGGTGATCCTGTCTTCCGGTCCCAAGCTCTGGCGGCCACTACCATCAAATTAATATCGCTACGAGTCCCTTCGCGCTGTCTTCCTGGGCCACGAAGTCGTTGCAGCAGACGTAGCCCGTAAGCCTCGAGGGTTCCGCATTCTTCTTCATCTTCTTGCGATTCCAGGTGAAGCCTATCCCTACACCAGCTGCAGGCCTTTGCATCCGCTTGTGTTTGAGCCCACGAGGTGGCAGGCAGTTCGCCAAGCCTTCAAGCGGCGTGATTGCCTGAGGGGAATCCCATGAAGCAAAGTGTACTCGCTGAACCTTGAAGCCCACAGGCAGATACTGCATAGATAGACAGACAGACAGATAGATAGATGAATAGATAGGTAGATGGAGAGACGACAGACAGCTAGGACGCAGATAGACAGATAGATAGATAGATCGATAGATAGATAGATAAATAGGTAGATAGATGGAGAGACGACAGACGGCTAGGACGCAGAGAGACAGACAGATAGATAGACCTGCAGACGGATAGATAGATGGGCAGGCAGGTAACAGGTAGTTAGATATGTAGGTAGGTAGCTATAGATTCGATTAGGTTATACAGAGATTAGGACAGGACAGATAGACAGATCAAAAGCATAAACAGATCACAAGATACGCAGATAGATAGAGGTGCATGTTGCCATGTATTGACACGACCTATCAAGCCAGCTATCTACTGTCGGTTTGTCTATCTATCTGTCAGTCTGTCTATCTGTCTATCTGTCTACTTGTTTATCTATGAGCCTCTGCTCTCACAGTCATTGGGCTCTGGGTTTTGGCTGCGTGGAAGCAGCATCCAGCTGCAAGCGAAACAAGCTTTGAAACCTGGAGCTCTGCAGACCCGAACAAATGCTTGAAGGTTTAGATTTTAGGCTTGGGCCTTGGGCCTTGGGCTCTGTCTCCGTCTCAGCCCTTCTGTCTGTATCTCTATCTGTATCTCTGTCTCTAGCCATGTCTGATCCTATATGGGTGGTTGTCCAAATTATGGTCCCTTTTTGGGTCCCTATTATAATACGGCACCTATTTTTAAGGGTACCCAAGAAGGGGCCATGATCTTGACAGCCGCCCATATCTCTTTCTATGGGTCTATGCCTACAACAAAGCCCCAGGCCCCTACCCGACCCTGGCAGGCGGCCAAGCGCTGAAAAACCGGCCGGGTCGGCCTGCAGGCAGCTCGCCTAGTCACAGCCTTCAAGAAGGGTTTGAAGGTTTTTTAAAAGCCCTGAGGGGTTTAAAACCCTCATCGGTTTTTAGAAACCTTCATCTCTTAGGATTGGGAAAGGCTTTTTTCTGTGTCACTACGCTACCGTCATTTGTCATTCTTGTGTCATCCCACACTGGGGTCTTTATTGTGAGTTGAGGTTTTGCTTTCTTATTCCCTCGATGTTGCTACATCTTAGGGGCATGGTTTGTTACAACATCAGAGTCTTTAGGGTTTTTGGGTTTCAGGGGGCTGAGTAATAATATGGTGTGATATAGTACAATATAGTATAATATAGTATAATGCAGTATAATATAGTGTAATATAGTAATATGGTGTAGTATGGTAGATTATGGGTAAAGTATAGTATAGTAGTATATAGGTATATAGCATTACATACTAGTATGATAATCAACTTCTTTGCTGCATGGGGAACGCAGAGTCCCAGCGCTGTCCTCCTCCTGGCATGGTCTGACATGCCATGCTGAGGCAAAGCTAATCCGAAGCAGAAGCAGTCACCTGAGCGGGAAGCCCAGACTGACTTATAGGGCTCGCTGGCTCCGCTGTAAAGAAAAGAGAGAAAAACTCCGATGTTTCATGGGCAGGATGATTTGGGACTTTGACAGACTTGTTGAAGCATCGATGCCTGCGGCATGCGAACGTCTTTTGACTTTCTGCCTGCTTGTGCCAATTCCAGATCAAAACAGTGCTTCAGGCGGACTGTGGCGCCAAAGACTGCGCCGCACGTGCCTCCAAGGTGCCGCTGAGCAAAGATTGTTGAAAATCTACAATGTATGATGACAACGGCACAGACAGCAGGCGACTGAGGCAGGCCCGTCGTCGTCGTCCTCTCTTTTCATGGTAGTGTAGTTTTGTTTGCAGTGTTGGTCGTGGTCGTGGCCCTTGACGTGGTGGTGGTCGCGTGGTGGTTGTTGTCGTTATGGTTGGAAAATATTTCTCCGCCAGTGCCAGGAGCGTGGGAGCAGCCAAGGCTGTCCAAACGCCTCCGCTGGCGTCCCCGGCTTCTGCTCAGTCGCGACAGAGGCATGGAGGGCAGCAAACTTGGAGTGCAAAGTGAGTATTAGTATTAGTATTAGTATTAATACTAGTATTAGAATTAGTATTAGAATTAGTATTGCACCCTTCGACTCGCAGGTCACCGGCCTCCGGCCCTGGCGGCCCAGGCCCTCAGGGGCCCCAGAGCCAGGAAAGGCCGCGTCCGAAAGTGCCGCAAAGGAGCTCGACAGGACAGCAGGCCCGGTACCCGGGCTCTCTCGGTTCCTGAGTTGAAGATCTCTGAGTTTTGAAAGCCTTTTCCTGCCAGGCCGCAGCACAGCCGAGTTCGCGGCGCCCCAGCCTCCATGAGCTCCGTGCTCCGCGAGAGGCCCTGAGGGAGCAGAGGCCGGTGGAGCGACGGCCTCCGCCTCCGCCGCCGGAGCCGACTGCGAGCCTCTCTGCAGTGTCCGCTTCCTCGGCGTCCCTGAGATCATCCTTTTCGGACGGCTTAAGCGGTATCCAAGCAAAGGTGGCCAAGGCCAGTTCGGAGCCCCGACTGCCGACATGTTTGGCATACTTGGGCGTCCCGAGCCGCACGCCGCGAACTCCCGCCGTGCGGACCACAAAGCCACAGGGCCGTGGCCCTTCGAGCCCCTTGGTGGCCGAGTGGGAGCAAGCGATCGGGGAGCGAGCTGCACTCTACCCGATCTGTGCCATGACACCCCAAGAGGCACAGGACTGGGGCGCACGGGGCCAGGGCCAGTCCCGCTGGCACCACGACAGCTCGCTGATCAGCGCCGTGGTCTTCGGAAATCCTACGTGCCAAGAGCGGCGGCGCACGCGGCCTGGCTCCGTGGATCCGGGGCTCAATCTGCCTGGGTGCGTGTCTGCGGGTCGCCCTACGTCTCGCTCTAGCGAGGGTCGTCGTACACCCCGGTCTCCCGCCTCTCCCGCCACACGGTTTGAAGACGACAGCATTTCTATTCGGTCTGCGACGGAGACCGACAGGTACACGCCTCGGGCTCGTAAGCGGGTTCCCGGCCTCTCCGATTCCAGCACTGTGGTGGGAGAGCTCCTGTTTCAGAACTCGCATGTTTCTCAAGAGGAGGCCGAGGCCCCCTTCTGGGAGGGCTGCGCTGGCCAGCCGAGCGAGGCTCGGGACAGGACGTCCTCGAAGCAGGTGGCCACGCTCTGGGACCTCCAGGGCTACGCAGGTTTGGGCTTAACGCCCCGAAGCCGCGCCAGCCGCGCCAGCCGCAGCGAGCCCGAGAGCCCCTCCTCGCGCTCCTCGGCCATCGAGCCGACGAGGCCAGGAAGTGCCAGCTTTGGTGCAGTGTCGCAGAGTTTCGCAGTGACCGGAGCACAGGTCCTCCATCCGGATCATCCGTGGTGGCTCCGAGGGCCACTTCCGCATCCAGGAGGTGGCGGGGGGTGGGGGGGGGGGGGAAGGAGGCTGAAGCAACCGAGTCGAGTGGTCGAAGCCAAGCAGGGCCCCACGTTCGGGTCAGATAGCCGTCCGAGCCGCCCTTCTCAGAAAAGGGTAGTTGTCAAAACTAGGGTCACTTTTTGGGTAGCCTAAATATTAGGTGCCGTACCATATTCGGGACCCAAAAAGGGACCATGATTTTGACCACCACCCATATATGACTTCTGCCTTCTTCGAGCCGAAAGCCGAAATTCCGATCCCGAAGCTCTCGCGGGCAGGCCTCCCCACTGTGGCAAGGCAGCGACCGACTGGGGTTCAGAAGTTGGTGACGATCTGCTGAACTCTAAAAGCCTCTCCAAAGCTGCGTATGCTTCGCTCACAAGCTAGAACAAGACCCGTGGCATTGGGGAGTTTGTGGTTCCGAGATGTTTCGCCGAGGCTTTTGCAGTGTGCCTATGCCTCAAGACATAAGCTTCCCCAGATCTCTAGCTCGACATGGCTTGGTGCAAGGTGATGCAGAAGAGGCCGAGCGGCCGAACAGCTACCGAGCCTTGGCAGTACAAGCGCGTCACATCAAAAGGAGCTCTCTGTTCTCAGGCATGTCAATTTAAGCTGGTGATGAGTTTCATCTCGTGTTCTGTTGAGCCTCAGAAGCCGCCGGCCCAGCATCAGATAGCGATGTGAGCATCACCATGTCATCAGGATGTGAAGAATTGATCCCGACTCCGAAGCAGAAAGACAAGACAAGGCTCCAAGCCCAAATCCCGATAGCTTTCCCGGGCCCTGAACTGCAGAGCATGGGAATCCGAAGCCCCTTTAACCCCAAAGTCCGGGATTCGCTGTCCCAATCCTTCCTTAGCTTGCTCTAAGGCTTTAGGGTTTCGGCCTGTTGGGGTTGAGTTTAGGGTTCTACGCTCGTTAGGATGTCTCCGAGGATCCTTGCACGACGGGGCGGCTGGGAGGTGACGGGGGATCCACCCAAGTCCAACAGAGTCCTGCGATGGTCTTGGCTCTTGGCGTTCTTGCGTCTTTGGGGGAAACCCAAAACCCTAAACCCTAAACCCTGAAACGGTGTGTGAGGGTGTGCGGATTGAGTTCACGGGTTTGGCCCCTATGTTCTGGATGTTCGGGGCTCCAATCCATCCCCAGGGTCGTCCACCGCAGCCACTACCCCAGCTGAGTCCTCAGCAGCTGGAAGGAGCATCAAGGCACCAAAGCACCATCAGCCCTTCAGCTCCAAACCCCCAACATCGACAGTCCGTCTCGGGGCAACCCAAAACCCGGAGTCCTTTCCTTGCAGAGTCTCCAGAGCTGCCGGAGGCTCCTCGGACCATTTTTCGAGTCTCTGGCAATTTCGGCAGGCGCACCTGGCGGGAGTCCTCCCACGGGAAGCGGAGCTTCGGCGGGGAGGCGAGAGCGCGACGGCGTTGGCCATGTCGCTACGATAGTTTGCGAGTTGTTGTGAAGACGGCGCCTGTGTGGTCCGAAGACCCTGCACCTCGAGAGGAGGATGACATCTGCCAGCGGCACCCGCACGGCGCCCAGCTTGTCTTGGATAGAAGCGCCGAAGTCGACTTTGCTTCCGGAGCCCTGGTCATAAACCCAAGACTCTCCACACACCGAAACCCGTGTAGTGCACTGCTATGATGATGCTGTGGATGATCATGTTGGTGCTGGATGTCATGCGCATGATGGTGATGAGGATGATGATAGCCTTCCTCCTCCTCCTCCTCGCCAGTTTTTCCAGAACGCAGCTGTGAACCCCAAATCCCAAACTCGAAGCCCTAGCCCTAAACTCTACTGTAACTCTGAACCTCATTGAGCCAACACCCCAACAAGGAATTCGGCTGGACAGGCCCGATGCCGGTCACAGCACAGGGCCCCGGATAGCTTGGGGAGTCTGATATCTTTCCAGGGCTTCAAGTTCATGTGTCAGGGCTCGAGGCTTCGGAAGCTTCGGGTCGTACCAAGGCTGCAGAGAAGATAAGGTTTGCTTAGGTAGCTATCTCATATAATTCCAAAGCTAATCCAGACACAGGTGTTCGGCAAGACTAGACGAACCTGAACCCTAGTCCCGAGACACAATCCCTTCTGGAGCCTTTTGAAATCACTACCAATACCCACCTTCAAGACCCGAAGCCCGGAGAAGCACTGAGGCAGGGCATGCGCCGGCAGTTTCCATCTGCACGTGCAAGACAGGCCACGGGCATGGAGTTGAGGGATCCCGAGCGATACATAGTTTGGGATTATCATGCTGATAACGATGGCACAGACGGAGAAGCAGATGATAACATGCCCTACGAAGGCTGCAAGCATGGTGGTGAGAATGACGACTGCTATGACGACGAGTATGATGATGCTGATGCTGAAGATGCAGCTGCCGAAGTGGTGGTGCCTGGAGGCTTCTATTCTTAAAGATGATGACAGGGTGGATGTGGTGTCGAAGATGGTCCTCATGCTGAGAATGGAGGACACTGCATTCAACATTTCGATGTTGCTGATGCTGGGGCTGCTTCTGGTGATGTCGGAGATCGTTGGTGTTGATGTTTATATCTGTGTAGGTTTCAAGTGTATTTCTGACGTTTCTTCCGATCTTGCCTCTCTTTGTGAATGCTATGCTTTGACTAGCTTCTCCATGTCGTTGGTCTTGTGTTCTTCTCATCGTTGCACTAGTGCTGTTCCGATCTCGTTTTGTGATGATTGCGACGTACTGTTGCTGATGGTGACGCCAACATTAAGTTTGTTACTGCTAATACCTGCTTCAGTGTTGTTGGTTCACCAAGCATGTGATTGCTCAGGTTGTGTTGTGATGCTTGCAAGTAGATTTCCAATTCTCATTGCTGTCTTGATGATACAGTCACTGTTGTTCTCCGTGACTTCCATGTTCAAAAGCCAACATAATGATTTTGCTTTACGTTCACAGTCTTTTGCTACCTTTTTGGGCATCCGGCAACTTCTCATTGTTGTGGGCGTGGTTGCAGTTGTTGTCAACATCACTGGCAGTGCTGTTGCTTCCTCCTTCATGATTTCAGAGAAAAGTTTGTTGCCATTGGTACCTGTGCTGTATAGCGGGTTCCTCTGGTTCGCTTTCTGCATGAAATTTAGATGCCGTTGCTGCTGTTGCTGTTGTTGCTGATGCGCTGTACTATACTATACTATACGAGACTTTACGATAATACAATACAACAACGGACCATGTATTATACCGTAGTATACTATTACATAATACTATGTACATGTGTACACATATAGATATGATGTAACACACACACACAAACGCATTATCTGTGCATGTTTGTACGACATGCGCATACATACGCATATTAAAGACACAGACAGAGCAGTTGTATATGTATAGATAGATGGATAGATAGAGCTATATAGAGTTGCTAGGTAGCACGTATCATATCGCATTTGTAATCGCTAGTCATGACCTTATTCAACAACCTTCGCTACATCTCCAGTTCTGGAACTTCTCTTGGCGGTGCTGCACACATGTCTCCATCACACAAAACTCCCTGTCACAACCCACAAGTACGACTAGCTCTCCATCCTGGCTAGGCCAGCCTGGATGACCTGGAGCCTCGACCTTCGCGACGAGGCCGCGAACGCTGCCAGCATCGTTGGATTAGCTACGCCGACTAGTACTATCGCTATGACCATATCTCTTCTCATTATATGTAATAGTTTTATGCGTAACGTTGATACCAATTCTTTGCAGAACGGTGGCTCGAATGTTCGTGTTTTAGAAGTCACGCTAGTCTGATGCTGCTGGTCGTACTTATCGTTATGCTTGCAGAAATAGTTGGATCGACGACTGCACGCGACTTGTTTCCCTCCGGTGCCGCTGTTGTGGTTGTGGTCGACCTGTCAGCTGTTGTTCTCCGCATTCGGTTCAGGCCCTGAAGGCGACTGAAAGCTGCGAATACTGTTGATGATATAAATCCTTTATTACCTTAAGGACCCTAGACTATGGGATTTATGGTATATTCCTTATTATGGGTAGTGCAGGATTTATATCATCAACCGTATGTATCGTGTTCTGAGACACTTTGGCGACGTCTCAGCGTCGTGACGCCACATGGGGCGCCGCCTTCCTTTCGGTGCGCGCGGACGCGTCTTTTTTCTGGGTCTGCGCGCCGCATGCCAGGTAGCATCCAGTCCAGCCAGGCGGGAATCTCAGGGCCCTGCTTCAGCATGTAGGGGTTCCAGGGTTCTAGGGTTTTAGGTTTCACGGGTTTTTGGGTCTTGTGGAAGCAGAGCCTGAGCTTCCGGAGGAGGGTCGTGTTGGAATCGGGCCCGTTGCAGTTTCTGACGCTCTGGGAAGCAGCTTTGAATCTAAGATGACAGTGCTGGTGATGATGTCATCTGCGGGATCCGGGGTCTGGCAACTGCTTCTAGTCCAGTATGGTTTTCTTCTAGCATTTCTCACTGTTACTCGTAGTGTCCCTAAACTCTACCAAAACTTCTCTAAACCCCAAACCCTAAAGGAAATATTGGAATGTCGGGCTGTTCATATCCCGGGGCCCCCGAAGCCGCCGGCTTCGCAGCTCCGAAAGCCGCCCCCGATGCGTCGAAGGCACTCAAGGCCACGGCTTACTGAAAAATGCCTGCAGCCCTTTTTGTGTTTGAAAACCTCAACCACTTTCCAGCAGTTGTCATCGGGCCTCGAGCACTGCTAAACGCCCCTCTAACAACCCTAAACCCCCAAAACCCCTAAACCCCCCCAAAACGCCAAAGCCCCAAAAACCCTAAACTCCCAAAATCCCCAAAGCCCCCCAAAATCCCCTCAACCCTGACCCCCCTAAGCCCCTATGTCCAAAACCCCCTACAATCCCCAGAGCCCCCGAACCGCTAAGCCCCTTAACTTTTAGTATCCTTATGGGAGGGGGCTCCAAAGGGGGGTAGGTAACCTACTAAACCCTAGTTCTCTCAAGTGCTCCCTAAGGCTCCCTTCAGGTTCCCTAAGGATCCCTTGTACCCTCCCCCTTGAACCACCCTCCCTTAAGGACCCTATAATTAACGAAAGCCCTGAAGCTCCCTTTGCCGTCCCAGGCTTCCGGCGAGCCGGAGCCCGGGCCAAGCCAGGCCGAGGCAGGGAGGGTTCCTCAAAAGGCTCCTTTAAGGGCTCCTCTCTATTAGTATTATTTTTAGTATTGTTATTGTTGTTATGATTATTGTTATTATTATTGTTATTGTTATGATTTTTATTGTTATTATTATTATTATTATTATCGTTATTGTTGTTATTTTTATTGTTATTATTATTATGGCTCCGCTAAGGGTTTCCTGTAAGGGTTCCGTTATAGGGTTCCTTGCAGGGTTCTTGAAGGGTTACTATAATGGGAATTGTAAGTGTTTAGTATAGGGCCCCTTCAGGAACTTTAGATCCCTTCAAAGAAACCCCTTAAAGGTCTCTTTAGAGGAAACGAGGTATTATGCTATCTAAACTGTGTTGTACTATGTTAAACTGTAACATTATCTGATACCATGCTCTGTCATTCCTACCTTACTTTACGAAGAAGAGGGGGCCCTTGCCCACCCTGCAGCCCGGTGGCTCCCGCTGCGGATAGGTGCGGAGCTTCCGGGGGCGGACTGCGCAAGCCCAGGCCCCGGAATCGCGCCGCGTTTTCCCTCGAGGCCCCTCATGGAAAGTCGTTCCCTAGGTCCCATTAGTGTATAAGACGAGGGTACTGGGAGGGTTACTCTTGATGGCACAACAAAAAGCGGCACTTAGAAAAAGTATTATAAGTATAAGGATAAGACCTCAGCAAGTCGCTGCCCGTCTGCACGTTGCAGCTAGGCTTTAAGGGTGAATCCAAGGATGCCGAAGCAGGGGCCGGGCTCTGTGGGCTTCTCAGGTCCCCAGTCGGCCCGACCTCCTCTCCCCGGAGCCGGAGATCTTGCCTTCGCCCAGGAGCTGGGGATTTCTGCGGGTTTCTTTATATATATATATATATATATTTGTAATGTATATACTCTTTGTATATATACGATATATATATATATATATATATAACATATATATTTGTGGGCTCGGAGGCTTTTGAGTTGAAATCGTCGCAACGAGCTGGGAGGCCTCGGGTGGCCATCGAGGAGGGCGGCGGTCGGGGGCCCGGTCTTCTGCTTTGTAGCGCTGGAATCCCAGCAGCTCATGGGACTTAGGGTTCCTTTTAAGGGTACTCTATAGGGTTCTATAATAGGGTTCCTTAAAGGGATCTATAAGGGTTCTACTTGGAGGATCATGGGCCTTAGGGTTCCTTTGAGGGTGCTATAGGGTTCTATAATAGGGTTCCTTAAAGGGATCTATAAGGGTTCTAGAAGGAGGATCATGGGACTTAGTAAGTAGGGTTATACGTCCTTAAATGGGGTTATAAGCAATAATAACTGTAGTTATATCCTTTAAGTAACTCAGGCATGATTCCCTTAGCCGCCGGTATTGCAAGTAAACACAGCGCATGTGGGCGGTGAGAAGCCTCGGGGTACTGTTTATAGACTGGGCGCTCTTGCCCCCATGCACAAACTATCGACTTAGGCTCAAAACAGGACGGTTTCGGGGCCGAGAGCAGGTGCACTGAGCAGGCTACTTGCGAACGCACATGTGCTTAACGAAAGACCGGCTGATGGCCGTGGAAGCATGAAAGTCAAGATAATCAGAAGGATAGAAACATACACATGCATGCACACAGTAACTGAATCCAGAAGTCCTGTTGCACACACGACCCTTATGTGCATGTGTTTATGTACATGTATACACAAATACGTAGATGGATGGACGGACGGACGGACGGACGGATGGATGGATGGATGGATGGATCGGTAGAGAGATAGATGCATAGATAGACGAACAGATTGTCACATGGCCTGAGAGACTGATTTATTCGAGGAAGCCCCTTCTGCGCCCTAAACCACGGAACCCTGTAACACACGATAGTATACGATAACATATGACAAAATACTCTAAAGGACTATAAGAGACTTTAGCTGCCTAGAAGATGTTTCCTTTCCCTGCAGTGCCCAAGAGCCTTTCAGGTCCCCCTTGGTCGCGGACGACCTCCACCATGTCCTGGCCAGGGCCCCAGAATCGTCCGGATATGTAGGACACAGTATCAGATGATGCTGCAATTTTCCTGGGTCTACATAGTCTGCTGCAAGATACTATAATATGCCATGATATAATGGTTATAATATGCTATAAGATACATATTACATGATACTAGAAGACACTGAGCCAAGGATGGATGCAAGTCAATACCGACGAGCTGCGGAGAGCCCCGGGATTTCGGGCGACAGGGCTCGGGCTTGGGTTGTTTTTTTTGCAGGGCGCGCGCTTTGAAACAAAGCCACCCGGAGCTCGGGGACCTCATACGGTTGTTGTTCGGGGACACAAGCAAGGCACAGCGGGGCACGCAAGCTCTGCAAGACCTCTGCAACGAGAAACCGGCACCAGAAATGGACCCACAACTACAACTGCCCAACCCCTTGTGATGGAAGCCCATGGAGAGGAGACCTCGCGCGGCCGGGCTGCCGGGGTGGTGAGCGGGCGCGGAGGGGTTGAGTCGTTGATTTCGGAGTTGGCCCCGGCGGGATTTTGAGTTCGGCATTTCTGTCTTCGTTTAGGCAGACTGTTGGGGTTGAGGATTTTGAGGTCATTCTCGCAAGGATTGGTGGGTTAGCAGCTTCTGCTGGCTTTCTGCCTTACCTTGGTGTGCAGCAAGGCCGATCATGCCTCGATCGTGCCGTGGAGTCACTGAATTCTTCAGTTCAAGATGATTCTGTGTTCCTGCCACACCCAAGGAACGAATGCCAGTCTTAAGGACTGGTGATTCGCAGTGTTGTCATCGAGATCATGCGAGTGTTTGGCATATTATGGTTGCCGTGATCGTCTTTCTTGGTCTTTGCGCTACTATACTATATAACTATTTCATCGCTGCCATCGTTTCACCAAATCTAAACCCTAAACCCTAAACCTTAAATCTTCATCGCTGAACTCTCCAGCCTGCACCGAACCCTGAAGCCACACCCCTCCCTGAACGTTTTGCAATTCCCCAAATTCCAACGCCCAAGCCCGGAGCCACCAAAGCCCTCAACCCCTGGACCCGTGAAGCCGAACACACCCCTAGACCATCCTAAACCCCTGACCCGTGAATCCCACACAAAAACAGGGTTTTGAGGGCCTAGCTATACAGAGCATTCCCTGATGATACGCCCCGTAAACCAACCCTCGACCACCAAACCCTAAAGCCTAAACCCTAAACACCTAAACCCCCTAAACCAAAAACCCTAAGCACCTAAACCTAGCCCCCAAACCCCCTAAATCAAGAACCCTAAGCACCTAAACCTAAGCCCCTAACCCCCTAAACCGAAAGCCGCAAACACCCAAACCAAAAACCCTAACCCCCCAAACCAAAAGCCCTAAGCACCCAAACCAAAAACCCTAACCCCCTAAACCAAAAGCCCTAAACACCCAAACCAAAAACCCTAACCCCCTAAACCAAAAGCCCTAAACACCCAAACCCAGGCTTCACGCAACATAGTCCCCGAGTATGCTACTATTTGCTTAAGAACCACCCCAAAAAATAAAACATATATTCCTTATGGGGGTAATATAGGGATTATTATTTTTATTTTTTGGGGGTTTCTTAAGCAAACAGTAGTATGTGCCAGGGCACTCCAGGAGCGACCCAAGGGCCGTTGCTCCGCAGAGAGCCGTCGACCGCAGGCGGCCCCTTTCGGTAGGGTATAGGGGTTTAGGGGTTTAGGGTTTAGGGTATAGGGTGTAGTGTAGGGTATAGGGTATAGGTTTAGGGATTTAGGGTTTAGGGCAGGGCTTAGGGGTCGAGAGGCTGGGGGTTTCATGGTTTTAGTTGGTGTTTAGTGGTTTTCGGGTTTAGGGGTCTAGAGGTTCGGTTGGGGGTTTCTTCGTAAATAGACGGGTGTGCATGTGTTTCCGCTTTCGGTTGAATGCATGATGATCCTTTACTTTGTAGGGGTTTGGGGTTCCACAACCTCCTCTGCTGTTGATCCAGTGGGTCTAGTTGTTGCTTTGCAGTTCGTCGCGGCATGTGCCTTGCCTTGCTGTGATCATGATGTCCCCTGTTGCTGTCATCCCTCTCGTTTCGCATTGTTGCGAGTTCTCCGTCTTCCCGATGGCCTGGTGGTTTTCGTCCCCAATAGGAAACCCTAAACACGGCGTCCTGCTTTGGGTACGCTCTCTCTTCTCACTTGTAGGCTCGCAGGTGTTATCAGAATTTGGAGCTCTGTTTCAGCTTCCTTTGCGTGTCGCATCTCTGCAAGGCCTGAATCCGCTGCCCATTTCATGTGATTCTACAAGCTTAGGTGCCATGGTGGGGCTTTCAATTCGAAGTTCAGCCAAGTTGTACCAAGCGCCCGGGCACGGGCAAAGGTCTGAAGAAAGCCGCCAAGAATCACAGGGACAGCTTGCAACGCAGGGAGGAGTGTTGTTACCTCATGGTTCAGCCTTTCCAGAAAGCAGGGCCTAAGGGTCTGAGAAGGGGAAATCCCAAGGATTTTCGGCCCTGCGCATGTCCCATGGACGCCCCGGACGCGGATGCACTGCACAGCGCCAGAAGCCATAACAGTGGCTACCAGGAGGCGAGGGGCGGTTCAAGACCCCCAGGTCCTGGGTCCGACTCTCCGTGTTTCTGCTGCAGCACACTGCTTGGTATGGGGAGTTCTCCTAATTACGATCCCATTCAGGAAGGGACCTTAGGGGCCTTCTTAATAATCCTAAGTCCTAGTATAGAAGTAACAGCGAACCACAGCACTAAGCCAAAGCCAAGCAGGAGCGGCGAAATTCCGAAGAGAGCACCAACTCGCAGGGATTGCGCCGCCTCGCTGTCGGCAGAAAGCAGTTCCTGTATGAGTCCAGGGCTCGAGATAGAGGGTTTGGGCTCGGGATTTGCAGAGCTTCTTCTGTTTCAGGCAGTGGGACTGAAATTAACGATTTCATGCTTGCTGAGTGCAGTTGAAGGCTGAGGGGTCTCAGGGTCGCGAGCCTTGCAAAACTGCAATTGCCCCCCTAGAAACGGAACTGCTCAATGATTTGCTGAGGATGGGGTAGGGTCCCGCGTCCACCGCAGTCGTCGGTGGAATGCGAGGAGACAAAGCGCTTGATGCTTGGGCGCAGTTGGTTAGCATCCTTAGCAACTAACAACATTCCCCTGCTTTCGTGGATTGCTGCGATGCTCTTCGACATTGCGGCCAGCAGTACTTCCAGTCACGCACCCGCCGGAACCAGTAATGTAGGTGCCTTAATAGTTACCTAGACTATTTTGGGGTTCCTTATTAAATTTATAGTAGAATACCCGCAAACCACTATTCCAATTACTAAGGCCCCTACGGTAGCAGTCGCGGTAGCAGAAGCAGCTTTTGAGCCCCGGCCTGCCTTGTGATAGTGCACGTAAGCATCAGAAAGCCCATGTGTGTCGGTACTGCATGGCTCCTGTGTTGTCCAACAGCAGATTGCAGAATCCCTGTTGGGAGCACATGGCCGGCCTATTCACACCCAAACACAACTCCTATCTGCCCAAGCAAGCGCAGAACGAGTTTCCAAGTATCTGTATGCTATCTGGGGGTTTCCGAAAATTAGGGGTACCTTATTTGGGGGTCCTTATAATAAGAATCCTACTATTTAGGGTACTTTTTTTGGGGTCCCGTATGTTCGGAAACTCCTATCTTCATGCGGATGAGACCAGCCCAGGAAGCTGAAGAAGCAGAAGCGCGAGCTGACAGAGGCTCGCGGGTTATAGGGTCATAATACTTTATAAACGCTACGCCTAACACTCAATACGCCAGGATAGTAATCACAACAACAATATTTGCAATACTAATAATCATAACAATAATAATGATACTAGTAATTATAACAATAATATTTGCAATACTAATAATCATAACAACAATAATGATACTAATAATGGTTATTTCAGTAAGATTGGTACATCTGAGGCTTGTGGAGTGTATAGAGCTCCTTAGTCGGGTGCATTCCCAGCCCCCAGCCTCCGCCGCGGTGAGCTCCCAAAAGAACCTCCAAGCTAAAGGGAGTGCCACCTAACTTCGCACCCAGCTTTTAGACCGGAATCGTAATATAACCTTGCAGCTCCATCCCTGAAGCCGCGGAAGGCAACACGCAATCTGGTGTCTGCCTCTTGGACAGTTCTTAAGCCTAGCTCTCGGGGCCGAGGGTTCAGGGAGTCCTACTTCCCAAGACCCGCTGAGGCGCCCCTGCAAGTGAACAGTTGAGAGCGGGTCTCTGGTTTTCAAGCTCAGGCTTTTGGTGTCAGCATGTGGGGGTTTTGGGTTTAGGAGGCCTTTAGGAGGCCTTGGGATTTCCAGGAGAACTTCAGCTCCAACCCAGGACCTTCTGAGATTCCGAAAATTCGGTTTTGGGGGGTCCTTATAATAAGGATCCTACTTACTAGGTAGGGTACTAGTTAAGGGTCCCCTATTCTCGGAAACTCCCATATGCACTGTTGCGCAGCTCACAGCTTGCAAGCTGTACGGCCACGGCAATCCACGAGACAAATCCTATGTTTCACGACGCCCCCCCTGACCATCAGTCATTCATTTAAGGAGAGCATCCACAACAGCCGGTTCTGCAAGCATCTGGGAGAGCTGCTCGGCAGGCAGAGACCGAGAGAGAGATAGAGGTTCGAGGTAGTGGTTTTAGAGGTAGAGTGTGTCGCCTGAGCCAATCAACATGTGCTGTACTGCTGTCGGAGGGGGCGCCCCACTGGCAAGCCCAAGACCTTTAGTGTAGTAAGGAGAAGTGAGCACATATGGTTGCGCCTTGATGCTATGTTGTCTCTGGGGTGAAAACCGCCACGTTCCAAACGAGCAATCCTTCGCAGACCTCCAGCAGAGGGCGTTCCTCCATACGAGAGGGTCAAGACTTGGAAAGTTTAGCCAGCAAAGATAGAGCGCGAGCGAGAGAGAGAGAGAGAGAGAGGGAGAGAGAGAGAGCCGCGTTGTTTTTGCAGTAGTCCTGGACTTGATGTTTTTTTTTTCGATTTGGTGAAGCCTTGAACCCCCATGACCACACCTTTGAACTGCTGTAAAGCCTTGCCGTTGCGACAACCCGACATGTCAGGGCAGCAATCCTGATGATGGTTCTTCAGCTGTTTGCCTTTTGCTGTTCAAAGCTGCGCTACATGCGAGGGGTCTGTGCAACAGACGTCAGGGACATACAAGCCTCAATGTTACCACATGCGCATACGGCTTTTGGTTTACAGCCCGTTTTGCTGCTGCGTACGGATGATGTGGAGCATCATCAACTGAACAAGTTGTCCGCATGACATTACAGCACACGAAGTCAGTTTGCCCCTGAAATAGTCCATCCTTTACTGCGTTGGTTAACGATGCCTGGGACACTTTGGGAGACAAGCTGACGAATTCGCGCATGTGTCAGAAACGACTGTGAAATGTCCGACTCTCACTCACTGAACTTATTACATAAGATCTTTCTGTCAGGACACATATCACAGTGAACTCTCACATCCTCCCAAAGCCTCAGAAAACTCGGGGGACCTGGTGGCCGGGGGACTTAACTCCTCCCCGACGCCCTGCGGAAGAAGATAGAGATAGAGATACAGAGAGAGAGAGAGAGAGAGAGAGAGAGAGAGAGAGATGGCGAAAGAGCGATTTTGTATACTCACACAGATGCACACGTTATAAATATATATATATATATATATATGTAAGTATACATGTATATGTATACGTGTATGTATACGTAAAGGTACATGTATAGGCATAGGCATAGGTGCTACTACGAATATTATATGCATATATGCAGTTCCTGAACCCGAAGCTCTAAGCTTTCCCAGACCAAGGCAGGTGGTGAACTCCTTGTGTGACCGCCTGGAATTCTATGCTTTCGCCGCCGGGGATATCATCATTCGCCAGGGGGAGCAGGGGGACCACCTCTTCATTACGGAGGCGCGCTCGGCAGCTGTGTGGCCGGAGGAGCAGCCCTACTAGAGCCAGAGAGCGCCGATGCGAGAGCCAGACCGCTCCATCCACCAAGCCGTACGCCCTACACATCCCTACACCCTAAACCCCAACCCATAAACTCAAACCCGAAACCCAAGGCCCCTACCGCCCTAAACTCCAAACCTCATCCCTGGAATTTCCCCTCCGACCCTCCGCCTCCAAAGCCCAGATCTTCCACGGAGCAGGCGGGCGACCTGGAGGTGTCCATCGATGGCAAAGTGATCAACTCCATGGGCCCAGGCTCCTCTGTGCTTTACGTGGGGCCCAATGAGTCTTGCTTATCTTACTTGTCTTCCTTCTCACACGAGATTGGTTCTTATTCTAGGATAAGTCCTACGTGTCTTGTTGATGGCGCTGCGGTGAATGCAACATAGCATAAAACCTAGGTCAACAGCTGTGAAGCTCGAAACAGTGCCGGGGGATCATGAGGGTTCTGGAGATTTTGTTCTTTGTTGGGTTCTTGTCTTGCAAGGGTCTGCTATGGCAGGGGCCGGATGTCCAGGCTCCCTGGACCCTAAGCCCTAAAGCCCTCAACTCTGCTGGCGTGGGCAAGTAGAGAATCGTAGATAATGTAGGGTTACAGTCGGGGTTCTCACTGCCTAGGGTTGTCCTCCTAAATCGTAACCTCATTTACGAGCCCTCAAAAAGGAGACCCTAAACATCCCTGAGCTCTGCTGGACTCGCGCTGGTGAGCCGAGCGTGTTACATATACAGCTGCGAGACTCTGGACTCATTTATAGGGGTTTTCATAATCCATACACGCTTTATGGATTTTAGATGACACCATAGGTTGTGCTTATGTGTATATACACACATAGATACATAGTGGATTTTAATACAGATGCTACGTACCCTAGGTTGTATATATACATATACACACATACGTATGCACATATTTGTACATGTAGATACATATTACATATTACGGCCCCGTCGAGGCTCAGGGTCCAGGGCTTAGGGTTTAGGATTTACGGTGTTTTGGGTTTGGAGTTTAACAGGGTTCGGGTTGAGGATGTAGGGCTTTTGGGGTATTCCCCTTGAGGTGATGCCTTCGGATGCATGGCGCTGCTGTATAACGTTCCGCGTTCCGCCACGGTGACAGCCAAAGAGGTGCGCCGTTGTCTTCTCCGCAACACAGGGGCCTGGATACTACTATTATTCGTTAGGGTTCCTTTCTAAAGCTACAGAGTTTCTAGTATACCCCAAAATCCCGATTAGGCCCAAGGACGAGGGTTTGGTGTTTCGCGGCAAACCGCAGTCCCGAAACCTTAAAATCCCTAAACCTTAAAGCTTGAACTCTAAATCCTAAACCTGAAGCTCTGTGGAGGATGCTGGCCTGTGGCTCTTGGGCGGCAGCTACTTTCGCAAACTGGTGCGCGAGCACTCAGCGACCTGCTCCGACTTTGTCTAGGATACCTTATATAGGCAATACTATCTTGGGGGGGTTCCTTATTATAGTTATAGTATAATGGCACCCAAAACCCTATTCTAATTATTAAGGCCTCTATAGTAGACCCTCAACTACCCTCTACTATGCCCCAAATACCCACGTTTATGGACCGTAAGGGCTCTATCGGCAGTCTGTGTTTCCTTTCTCTCCAAGTCTCCGTCTGCACCCGAAATATCCAACTCTAGTGCTACTTTCTACTTGCAATCAGGCATCTGCAGACTGAATGTATTACTTACCTGCATCACCATCGATGCTGGCTGATTATTGTTGCTAAGAAACAGTAGTCTTGTGGTCACTGTGTGGCATCGCACAATACCATCCTAACATACAGAACGCTGTTATGACTAGCACTCAAATGGTGCGCAGCAAGGAAAAGACCCAGAAGGAAAATCTGCGGCTTCTCGAGCAAGTGCACGTTCTGGATGGACTGTCCAACGCGCAGAAGTCGCATGTGGGATCGGTGCCTCGGTTGCAGTCTCGGGTGCAGGGTTTTGGGTGTCTAGGGTGTGGTTCAGGGTGTCGCACATGTTCTCTCATTCAGGTTCATCGTCGTCATTCTTCTTTGAGCTAGTTTAGAACGGATCCCCAAACCCCAACATCACGCCACATTTCGCCGTACGAACCCCTTGACGCTGGCCAGGTAGCGCTGCTCAACGAAACCTTCACAGCAGGGTCGGTGGTGGCAGAGTTCGGGGAGGAGTGCAAGCGGCTCTGGGTTGTGCCGGGCTCAGCGTGTGCTCTACAGACCCTGATGCAAAACTTGCATCCCTCAGCCCTCGCCTGTACGGATGTCGACAGCAGAGCAGGTGGAGAAGGGCCCTCCCCCCAACAAAAAGCAAATCGAAAGCCTAACGCCTCCTCCTGGAACCCGAAGCCCTAGAGCCTACAACCGTAAACCCTAGCCGTAAGCCCTAAGAGTGATGCACCCGTTTTGTGGACCCCCCCGCCCAATATCTGAACCCTAAGCTGATCTCGTGAGAGACCCCGAATTGCCAGGTGAAGAGGGGCACTCTCAGCGTCGTGGACGGTGGCGAGCGGATAGGCAAGAAGCTGTCCGGGGGCGACAAGGTCCGCGAGGCCCCGACATGTGCAATCTGTTCGTACTCAAAGCGCGAAAGCAGTCATAAGTACCTTGATGGGGTTATCAGTAATGATAGCTATTATAGTTACAGTTTTCGAATTTCCATAAATACGAGTACTCTTGTTATTACGAGAATCTTGGTCTCATGTGATTAATATCTCAAGCCGGCCTTTGGGCCCGACGGGATCCTCTTCAGATGCTGTTATAGTTAAGCTTACCTTATTCATAGCACCAGCAGTTTGGATTTGGGCTGGGCTTTCGGGGTCTCATGGCTGAAGTTGTGGTACATGGTGTGTCCAGGTTGCAGGGTCTGTTTTGCCTCATGGAGTTTCCGAGAATAGGGGAAGCTAGTATAGTATCCTAAATAGTAGGATCCTCAATACAAGGACCCCAAAATACGGTATCCCTAGGTTTTTGGAAACTCCCTCATGCTCCCTCAAGCACACTTGGAGGATCATGGGACTTAGTAAGTAGGGTTATAAGTACCTTAATTGGGGTGAAAAGTAAGTATAACTGTAGCTCCTTTACTTATAACCCTCTTCTAGAACCCTTATAGATCCCTTTAAGGAACCCTATTATGGAACCCTGGTAGTACCCTTAAAAGGAGCCCTCAGCCCCATGATCCTTTAAGCGCAGGTCTGTGCAGGCGGCTGCTTTGGCGAGCAGTATCTCAAGATCGACGCCTCCAAGAGGATCGAGGAGCGGGCTTTGGGGGATTGGGGGTATTTTAGGGGCCTTATAATCATTGCCTATACTACGTATTTTGGGGGCTCCTGATTATAATTATTGTGCCTACTTTAGGGGCCTGATAATCATTACCTATACTATTCTTGGGGGGGCTCCTGATTTTTCACTATGGTATAATACAGAGTTGAAGCTCGGATGTCCTTTCACTGTGGAGTCTCGCGGATGTCAGGGTTTTCACTACTGAAATTCGGGCCCCGTGCCACGCATCCTCGTCGCCCGACCCCACAAGAGAGCCGAGCCTGGAATCCTTCAGCTTCGTGTTCTGACTTCGGCTGGGTAAAGCAGTCTAGGCTCGTTCTCTCGCAAGGGTAGGCCTGAGGTTGGTTGCAGAGACCAGCCTCTTAGATTTGGATCGTGATTACCACCTGGATTTCCATCATGACGAGGACGGCGGTTGCTGCTGCTGCTGCTATGACAGCTGCCTCTTCCTCCACTGCCTGCCACTACTGATGCCGCTGCTGCTACTACTACTACTACTACTACTACTACTACTACTACTACTACTACTACCTGCTTCTACTTCTCCCTCTACTTCTACTTCTACTTCTACTTCTACTTCTACTTCTACTTCTACTACTACTACTACTACTACTACTACTACTACTACTACTACTACTTCTGCGACGAATACTACTACAAGTAGTGCTGGTAAATTTGGTCAGTGATCATGCCGATGACTGCTACTGCCACTACCGTTGCTTTTGCCACTACTAGTACTACTACACGAGAACGACGACGACTACTGCTACTACTAATATTGCTGCTGCTACGAACAACGACTCTTGCATCGACACCCTCCCCTCTTGGGTGCTGAAACTGAGATCCCTGGTGCCAGGTAAACCTAGTTGCTGCAACTGACTGCGACGTGGTCTGCGTGCTGATCGACAAGCTGGCATCTCTTCTAGGCGGGATGTACAGGAACCCTGCATCAGCCGGCAGAACCACCAATTCTGGCTAACTTGGGGCCTAATAGGCCTGAATCTTAGTCTATTCTTGCGCATTCAACATGCCAAGCCCATGAACACATCGGCCTGAGGCGTTGTGATTGTCACTGGGTGTGTGACACTGTCAGCTCTTACAGGGGGTGACAGGTGAATGTCTTGCTAATTTGGGGCTCCAGAAGAATGCACACACCCCTAAGCCCTTTCTTGGAACTCCAAACCCCAAGCCTCACACCCTGCTCTGCTGGAGGTGAGGGGGATGTGGCCCAGCTGCTTGAAAGGGCATATGCGACCAAGCTGCAGAGTACTGCTTCACCAAGTCAGTCCCTATCATAGATGTACTACTGGGAACGCTAAGGCTAATGCGAATGGCCGAGTGCAAATGCTAATTTTAATGCTAATACAAAGTACGAACGCGAGTACTATCACTAGTCCTCACACTAACACTAGTTCTGCTGCTACCACTTCAGCTACTGCTAGCACCAGTACTTGTACTAGTACTGGTACTTGTACTGGTGGTAGCAGTAGTTGCAGTAGTAGCAGCAGCGGCAGCAGCAGCAGAAGTAGTTGTAGTCGTCGTCGTGGTAGTAGTTGTAGTCGTGGTGGTGGTGGCAGTGGTATCAGTCATTAGAGTCATAATGTGAACAATAGCCGTAGTATTTGTAGTCGAGATGGAAATGGAAATGGCAATAGCACTAGTAAGGATCAAACGTAGGAAGATTTACGCCAACACAGCAAGGGCATTGTTTCATCTTCTGCACGAAAAACTTGGACCGCTTGGCTGTGCTTCTGCAACAGCTGTCGAGGTGCCTGAAACTCTCGATTTTTGTGTCCAACGCCTGTCCGCAAAAGTAGGTCGGGCTGACCCTTCGGAAAACGCCGTGGTTCGAGAGCCTGCCTGCCCAAGACAAGTCGCACGTGCTCCACACACAGGCCGGGGTTGTCCGTTTCTCAAAGGCATGATAGGAACATCGGAACACCCATGAGACGTTGAGTATTGGTATTCCCGGATAGTCCCTATATGACTATACGATCAAGTCTCAACACCGCGTTCTATTACTAAGTATCCTCTTTTCTGCATCCCAGCTTTCAACTAAATTCAATGTCCGCAGTCATTCCGACGCCCGACGGCTAGGATCCCAGAACCCCGAAGCCTTCATATGGCTTGATATTCCTTGCTCTCTGCTTCAATGGCTAGGAGTCCTTAACCTGTTCCAACACTCCTGTGGAGGTCACCATCGAGCCTTGCAGAGAGGGTCAAGCCGTTTCTTCCCTGCAAAGGCACCGGAAGGGGAGTGCACCCAGTATGGAGTTTGCGATAGCAGCTAGCCCGAAGAATCCTGGACTAAAACCATCGGATTCGTGCTTTGGGCATCCCCTCCTCCTACCAACCGCGAGGAACTTGCAGTTTCAGTTGCCCTCGATCCTCGACCCAAGAGCGAAACCCTTGAGCCTCAGCCTAAGCCCTCAACGCACCAGCACAGAGGTCGGAATGTTGTACAACAGTATTCCGAGCGTCCTTACTGAATAGTACAACGACACGTTCACATGCAAGCGATTGCCTAGCCTCGTTTTGGGATTCCGTCAGCTGCAGGGGGCCCTGAACTTGACCTTGACCACTTGGAGGATCATGGGACTTAGTAAGTAGGATTATAAGTACCTTAATTGGGGTCATAAGTAAGTATAGCTGCAGTTACTTGACTTACAACCCTACTAAGTCCCATGATCCTCCTTCTATAACCCTTATAGATCCCTTAAAGGAACCCTATCATAGAACCCTATAGTACCCTTGAAAAGAGCCCTAAGTCCCATGATCCTTCTAGCAGGGTTGGCTCCATGGCCTACCTGGTCTTGGTGGTCGAAGGCACTTTTCACGACTCGGCGGTGCCCTGGCCCTATCGCCTGCCTTTGGTTAGTGGGGAATGGAAGAATGGTAGCAGTAGCAGTAGTAGTAGTAGTAGCAGCAGCAGGAGTAGCAGTAGTAGTAGTAGTAGTAGTAGTTATAATTATACCCCATTCCTCCATTCCCTACTAACCAAATGTAAGTTTTTGGTTAGACGGAGGGAAAGCGCCCGTTGTAAGACATTTCGAGACTCACTGTAGGATCCGTGTGAAAAGCCTTACCTGAACCTTCCTAGAGGCCCGTACAGAATGGCACCAAGAGACCCAAACCCGAAACTCTAAGCCCTACACCCCTGAACGCCCCTAAGTCCTAAACCCCCAAACCCAAAAAAGCCTTAAGCCCCAAACCCCACAGCCTTCTGCTATGGCAGATTCTGGACGTTAGCAAATTACAACGTTGCAGATTCTGCTCTAGCCAAGATTGCAATAGATGTTATATTAACTACATCATACTATACTATAGTCTAGCTTAATGAGTCTATTAAATGTCTACTTCGTATACTAGACTGTATTGTGCAAGCTAGCAGACGGAAAAAGGCGTTCAACAAAAAAACAAAAAAGCCCTAAGCCCCCAGCCCCAAACCCGTAAAGCACCGAAACCCAAACCCCAAAAAAAGCACCAAAAAACCGTAACTTACCTTTTAAAACCACAAAAGCCCCAACCCAAAAAAGCACAAAAACCCTAAACTTACCTTTTAAAGCCCCAAAAGCCCTACCTAAACCCTAAACCCTAAACCCAAAAGCCCTCGAGGATGCGCGCCGGTGCCTGCAGCGTGGCGGCTGGGCCCAGGCGGAGGACTTCGATCGGCTCCAGTCCGGGCCTCTGGGGATTTCAGGGTTCAGCTTCAGGGTTTAGGGTTTAGGGTTTAGGGTTTTAGAACCCCTATAATATACCCTTAATATAGCTATTATATACCCATTATGTAGCCCATTATTATAGACTTTTTGGTTTTGAGAGGGGTTTGGTTTGCTTTTTTCTTTTATGAGGAATTCACCGACCCCATGAGATTGCATCAAGGCTGTGTCCGGCGTGAAGGGTCGAAGTACACGATTTGTGGGTTTTGCGCTTCAGGCTCCTAGCTCCAGGGTTTAAAGTTTAAGTCGAAGTGTTGTGGTGCGACTTCTGCTGGAAGCTCTAACGACGAGAGAGGCCCCCGTCCCCTTGCTAGGCTCAGTTTGCTGTGCTGCCCTAAACCCTGAACCTTACAACTCCTGGTGTCGGACCCAGAGCCTCCAAAACCCCTTAATTAAGGAATATACCTTAAATTATAATAGGATCCCTAATATGATTTTAAGGTATATTCCTTAATGAAGGGGTTTTGGAGGCTCTGGGGAAGGGGGACCGTTGATTTGATCCTATTGAACCGAAGCGCTGTCCGAGGATGCTCTGCAGTTCCAAGGCCTACGAATCACCGAAGGCGCGCGGGGTCTTGGGGTCCTCTTTCCTGGGGCCGCTCGCTGTCTTGCGTTGGGCATCGGATTTAGGGATTACAGCCCTAAGCCCTAAACCCCTAGGCCCTAAGCCTTAAACCCTGCTTCAGTTGTTAATTGGAAGATGGAAAAGGCGTTCAAACAAAAGCAACTGTATCTAAACCCCAAACTCCAACCTAGGATGTCGGTCGCTGAGGGGCCGGCGTTCCCTTGCACTACGAAGGTCCTCAGCTCGCAACCGCGTTTGGCGTAACTGTTGCCGCCCTTGCCAGATGATCATGATTCAGAACAGTCTGCGAAGGTACAGGAAGAAACTGCTGAAATGCGGACCCATGCTATGCCAGATCGGTATGGCTCGAAACCCTTAGCAGAACCCTTAATGCAAAACCTAAACCGAAACACTCATAGGAACTCTGGACCCAACGACTCCCATATTCCTCAATCAGGGAAGACACCTCAAATCGTATTAGGGGTCCTGCTGGATTTTCTGGGAAAGGAGACCTACTATAGAAGCCGCAATGGTTACCTACAGTATTTTGGGGGTTCCTTGTTATAATCAAAGTAAATTGGGCCCCAAAGCCCTATTCTAACTTTTAAGGCCCCTACATTCTAGTATCCTTTTTGATCCGTTATAGTAACCCGTATGGGTGGTTGTCAAAATGAGGGTCCCTTTTTGGGTCCTTACTATAATACGGCACCTAATATTTAGGGTACCCAAAAAGGGACCATAATTTCGACGACCACCCGTATAGACCCCTTTAAAGGAACCCTATTCTAACTTCTAAGGCCCCTACATTATAGTACCCTTTTTGATCCCTTATAGTAACCGGTATAGACCCCTTCAAAGGAGCCCTATTCCAACTTCTGAGGCCCCTTTATTTTAGTATTTTGGGGGTTACTTGTTATCATCATAGTATATTGGGCCCCAAAGCCCTATTCTAACTATTAAGGCCCCTGGAAACCCTATTCTTAACTACTGAGGCCCCTTTGTTAGAGCCGCAGCGCTTTCAGGCCTCGGCGAAGAATGCGCTTCGGCCGGATCGCCTTGTGGCGGGCGAGACGGGGGGCAGGTCGGCTGGGTTTAGGATAGGGGCCTAATGCCCTAAACCCTAAACCCTAATGATTACCGATGCTAGTTTTGGGGTTTCTTGTTCTAACTAAACCCTAATCATTACCGATGCTAGTTTGGGGGTTGCTTGTTATAACTACAGAATAATGGTCTAGGCTCGTGGGTGTGGGCTGAAGATGCCTGGTTGGCACCTTCTTTAGATACCCACTTTTAGTCTGACTATGGGGTTTGGGATCCAAGATGCTGAATGATTCAAGTGTCTTAAGGTGGTGTACCCCTGCTTGAGACACCTACTACTTATAGTCTAAGTATGGCTTTAGGGTTTAGGATTGTTTAGGTACCTTCTAGTATAATCGTATAACTATAATTGTGTATGGTGCTCTGCGTTCCATGCTTGGGGCTCCATGGGACTTAGTGCGTACAGTTATAAATACCCTAACTGGGGTTAAAACCCAATTATAAGTACAGTTACCTTGTTTGTAACCATAGTTACTAAGTCCCATGAACCTTTAACTAGTCCTGGAGCCCCCTCAATAATTATAGCTATTATATTCCCATTATATAGCCCCATTATAGGGTAGGGGTCCCCATTAAGCGTCCCTCAACCCTAAACCCTAAACCCTAAACCAGGATCGCGCTGGTCCCGCTCGAGGGCATCGCGCGGAGTCTCTCGGGAGACATGGAGTTGCCCGAGCCCGCAGAGTTGCGGCTTGGGCCTTAACAAGAAGTAGAGTAGAGGTCCCTTAGGGGTTCGTTTTAGAGTAGAGGTCTCTTAGGGGTTCTTTTTAGAGTAGAGGTCCCTTAAGGGCTCTTTACAAGGTTCCATAAGGGATACCATCAGGGTTCCAAAAGGGCTCGAAGATGTAAGTGCCGAAATACTTAGAACAGTGTGTTGAGGTATATCATATTCTAATTGCCGGAGGTACTGAATAGTGTTTACATCACCGCGTCCTTGACTGTCTCCGACACTATATAAGTTCACTGTGATAGTGACGATGACAGTGGCAGTCATGTGAATGCTCGGAACGGCAATGCTGACTACAATGATAACGATGGTGATAACGATGGTGATGACGATGCGATTGAAGCTGCTGTTGACGGCGATGATGACAACGTTCATGGTTGATGATTCATGGGTTGTACTTAATGACTGATGGTTGCACTGCCGACGATGATGGTTCTCAAAAATACAGAGGTGCAGTCGTCCTCGTCTGCGTCGTCGTCGTCATCTGCGTCGTACCAGATCAGGTGACACAGGTTTCGTTCTGTGTCCTTGTCTCACTGTTGTGCTTGGCATCGTTGCATCGTGTCTTGTCTCCTGCCTTCGAGCATTGTGCTCACATGTCGCGTGCTCCTGCGTGGTGCTCCTGTTGTGTCCTCTTGTCGCCTCTTGGTTTCAATGGGTGACGAGGATGGTCACCATAAAGATTCTGGAGATTGCTAGTGAAATTGTTGTGATCCATTCGGACACTTGTTGTGCGGAATATTGTTGGTATGGCTTTGGTGTCTTGCATAATCTTAGCGTCGTAGCAGTCCATTTATGGCAAGTCTTTTTCATCGATGAGTTCCCTTTCAACGGCCAGCGGCATTCAAGATTGGGTTTGAAGCTATCCTGGGACCACATCCGTTTCACAGTCGGCTCTTCTACGTGGGTAGTTATTCTCCTCGCAGTGTCTACACAAGAGAAGTTTGGTGTAGACTATGTTTCCGTTCAAGACTCTTTGTACAAGGGCTCACCAAAAAATTCGAGGAAGGTTTTCTGTTGCAGAGCACCGTAGCCTCACGTTAGAGCGACGACCTTTTCTACGGATGTTCGAGGATGGACTACATCAGCAAGGTGCTCATCATCTCCAGGCCAATATCTCAGCCGGTTTCGCGGGTTTGCTGTTTCCTGGGTTCTTGTTAAGGGGCTTAATCAGCTACGCTGTGGTAGGGACCGACGGATGCTTTCATTGTTGTTTTGACCCTGACAGAGACCCATCACCTTTTCTAAGCTCCGCCTTTACTACTACTACTACTACTACTACTACTACTACTACTACTACTACTACTACTACTACTACTACTACTACTACTGTTTGGGGTGTTGACTCCGCCTTTACGGGGGGTTTAGATGGAAAGTGCCGGTGGCGCGAGCCGGTCTCCGCTCCTGGGGTTTCCTGCTCGTTGTAGCTAGGGTTTGAGCTGTTACGGTTTAAGTGTTGACTGAAGCCTCAGGTGGCTCCGAAGTCGCTCCAGCGACTCCTAAACGCAAGGGTGCTTTCGGCGCGGCACTTCCGAAACCCTCATGGCCCCTGAACCTGAGCCCTCATTTAAGGTCCCTAAGCCCGAGACTCCGAAGCCCTGCTTGGCCTGTCGATAAAGGCTGCCCGTTCTGAAGCGCCTCGCGAACTTTCAGGCAGGGGTTAGTATGCGAAAATAGACCGCAGCATACTCCACGATATACGATAGATAGTATACCAGAATGCAGTAGACAATACGCTACTAGGCTCTACTCTACTCTACTCTACTATACCGTATTGGGGCCTCAGCTTCAGTCGCTTGGGTGTTATCGATTCGTCGTCGAATCCAGAGCCTACTACGTCACTACGCTCTCAAGCTAGCCTCTTGCGGTTCAGCTTCTCGTTTCTCCGCAGCTTTATGAGCTCACCTGAGGCTGAACCATGACGGACTTCCGTATAATAACAATAATAATAGTAATAATAGTAGTCATAATATTAATAATTGTAATAATAGTAGTAATAATATTAATAATAGTAATAATAGTAAGTAGTAATAATACTAGTCATGCACTGCAGCAAGGTGGAGGGCTCGAAGGAACCGCCGGTCGTGCTCTGTGTCGTTCTCTGCATCCTCATCTAACATCGGTTTGGCCGCAGGAAAGGCTCAACATACTACACAACTACAACATAATTGTATGAAAACCCTAAACCGTAAACCCTAGCAGTATGTTTATATAAATGTTTCTATACATATACACCTATCGCAAGCTCTCGTTGACCGAAGCCTGCGATCAAGATTTGACCCGAAGCCCATGCCCTCAGCGGCGAACCCAGCTCCTAAACTCCGAACACTTCGACCGAACCCGCAAAGCAACCCTATCAGACCAAGCGAAATCCTACGAACCCCCTGTGCAAGGCACCTAGAGACCCCTTGTGCCAACTAAACCCTCAACTCTACAGACACACGCTAAACGCCCCAAATCCTGAACCCCAACCCCACCAACAAAACCCTCAACTTACCTTTGGTGAGTAGGGAATGGAGGAGTGGGGTACAATTTTTTCTACTATTACTACCATTCTTCCATTCCCTACTAACTAAGGGTAAGTCAAAAGCCCTCTACATCCTTGCAGGTCTGCTCCATCTCCAAGGCTCTCGACTCCACGGACCCCTGGAGACCCGGGGAGATCGTCTTTGACCAAGGCTGGGTTTCTGTTTCTGCTAGGGTGCTTCCGGGGGGGGGGGGAGGGGGCGGGGGCTTTAGGGGGGGGGGGGGTTTGTTTGGGGGGGGGGGGTTATAATAGTAATAATAGTAGTAATAATATTAAAAAGAATAATGTAAGAATAGTAATAATAGTAATAGTAGTCATAGTACTCCTGGGAATCTGTGAGCTGTGGGGGGAGCCTTATGGGCTTCTGGGCCGAACTACTGTTTGCGCGTGTGGCTCTTCATACTTGAGCAGGAGAAGACGGCGACAAGTTCTACATCGTCATGTCCGGGGGAGTGCGTGGCTGGTTTGCATCAGTTGACCTTAACTCGAACATCTCGTACCTGGTTTAGGTGCTCACGCTTGACGCTCAGGGCTGATCGCAGTGTGTTTTGTAGGCCGTGAGGGCAACATCGCTGCAAAGCTCTGTAACAGTAGGTATCACGTTTTTCTAGAGCACCCTTTCGCACGGCTGAGGTGTCGATGTGGACGGAGTCTTGCTACGCGAGCTCGGCAAAGGCCCCCATGGTAGAAAGCCAACGCACCTACATTTGTGCATATTTTCATACTCCGAACCTTGAGAACATGCGTAATTCCGCGTAGATACATCATATACATATACATATATATATATACACATACATATACATATACATATACATATACATATACATAAACATATACATATACATATACATATACATATACATATACCCATAGACATATACCTATACCTGTACATGTATATACCTATACCTATACATATACACATACATATACATACGCATATACATGCATCCATGCATCCATGCATCCATGCATCCATGCATCCGTGCATCCATGCATCCATGCATCCATGCATCCATGCATCCATGCATCCATGCATCCAACCATCCATCCATCCATCTATCCATCCATCCATGTGCATGCATGTATGCGTACGTGTATATATACATACATACATATATATATATATGTATAAACATGTGTAGGTGTTTATATTTTTTTATGTGTATGTATAGGTATATGTATCTACTAAGTGTATGCCACTGGCAGCAGTCTGTCTACAGAGCTTGTCACAGGAAGTTCCATGCCAGGTGCCTGTTTCGGTGAGCGGGCTCTGCTCTTCGACGAGAAGCGGTCGGGGAAGGCGGCTTCGTCAGGGGTTCAACCCACAACGTTTAGAGTTTAGACCCTCGGACCCTAAACCCCAGGTTGGCCCTCCAAACCCCAAACCTCAACCCCTGATTCCAAAAAGTTAACTCCGGACTGCCGCCATCATGGACCGTGGAACCATGCTTGCCACTAGCTGCAGCCACCGGCCAGCCTCTGGCCCAACATTCCGTCACTGCTGAGTTCTCCCCCAGCCCTAAACCCAAGCGCCCTACCCCAAACTCGCAGCCCTGAACCCGAAGCCCAAGTTCGGCAGTGTCTCCAAACAAGTGGTCCGTGCCCCAAACAGAGCTGGGCTATTACGTGAACACGAGTTGAGAACCAAAACCCGAACCCTAATCCCTTTTCCGACTGATGCATCAGGAGTAAAAAGGGGGGTGGGGGGTGAGCATTCAAAGCTAGGAACCCTAAACAACCCTGAACTTTTGAGTTTGAAGGTTACCGTCACAGAGCCGGACACTCGGTTCTGGGTGGGCACCCGGGATGTCTTCGAGAAGTTCGTGACGAAGAACATGAGAGACGACGCTGGGCCCAGGGTTCGGATGGCTTCGCATGGCTTGGAGGTTTCTATGAGGGTTGCAAAATGGTTGCAAAAGGGTTCTACATACAATGGCCAAAGCCACAAGACCTGCAACCCCAGCATCCTGAACGACCGAAGCTCAGAGTGGTCCGGCCTAGTGAACTCAGGGATGATTCTGGCCATTATGCTGGTCGTGACTGCGTCTTATCATGCCCATGCTTCTTCTGTGCAGCCCCTCAAAGTCGAAAAGCTTCATATTGCTATGACACTAACGGGAGTTTCTGAAAATAGGTGATCCAAATATAGTATCCTAAGTAGTAGGATCCTTCCTATAAGGACCCCAAAATAAGGTACCCCTAATTTTCGGAAACTCCCTTATGATTCCGACCCTCGACCCTGAACCCTAAGCATGATCGCGGTGGATCGTAGTCTCACCTTCTATGTGCCCAAACCTGGGCAGGCAGGCTGGAAAACGCCAGATTAACAACAAAAGCCCCTAAACCCTGAACCCTAAACCCAATAAACCGCTAAACCCAATAAACCGCTAAACCCTAAACCCCAAAAAACCCTAAACCCTAAACCCTAAACCCCAAAAAACACCAAAAAACCCCTAAACCCTGAACGCCTAAACCCTAAACCCCTAAACCCTAAACCCCAAAAAAACCCCTAAACCCTGGATGCGTTGGAGCTCCGAGGACCTCCGGGAACGAGCGAAGCTCCAGGACTGGACGCTGTCGCTGAAGAACCTGAGGTGCGCAAGTGGAACACAGCAAAGGTTAAGGGTTTAGGGTTATAGGGGTTTAGGGTTTAGGGTTAAGGGTTTAGGGTTATGGTTTAGGGTTAAGGGTTAAGGGTTTACCGGTTAGGGTTAAGGGTTTAGGGTTTAGGATGGTTTGAAGTTCTATAGGGTTTTGGGTTAGATGATTCCTCAACCTTTGGAATAAGGACACACCTTCTGCCGTAGACGCCCAGAGACTCCAATATCCTTTAATCAGGGTGATTAGGGGATATTGGAGTCCCCTAAACCCTATCCCTGGCAGGAACCCTTAAAGGAACCCTGATAGATCCCTGTAAACTCTGGGAAGGCACGTGCGGATGATCGGTGTTGGCGCCTTTGGGTCTGTGCGCCTTGTGGAGCACGTGAAGACTGGGGCACGTGGCTCGGTCGGTACTGTAGGGGGCCTCAGGAGAGTTTGGGGTATAAGGTTCCTTTAAAGGGGTCTAGAAGGATTACTATAAGATACTATAAGGTTACTATAACATAGGGACCGTAAGACTTAGAAGAGAGTTTGGGGGTATGTTATACTATAGACATAATAAGTAACTGTAGAGGCCTTAAGAATTATGATAGGGTTTTGGAGGTTCCTTCTTATGTCTGTCGTACAATATACACCCAAACCTTATGTATGCTAAATTATAAGGCCCTACATTACACTGGCGCGAAGGTTTATTCGCGGGTATTTTTATACTGGTAGCACGGAAGTTAAAACCTTCAACGGTATATTCTTGAAGCCTGAGCCCGCAAGCATCGTATCGAGGCTTTGCCACAGGATCTTTCGTCCTGGTGCTCCCGCATAGGTGTTTAGATCATGCAGTAACAACAGAGCACAAAGCTCTCCCGTGTTGCGCTTGTGTTACTTGGCACGAAAGTTGGAGCATGTTTATCCTCGTGCCTGTGAAGTTAAAGTTTTCCAATCCCAGCGCCAATCATCCTGAGTCCATGTTCCAACTTTCTGGGTTTCACCCTATATGGTCTATGTATGGTCGGTTCTAGCCACCACTGCGTCATACTAACTTATGCCAATCCCACTCCAACTCCCCCTTAACCGTTTCCCCAAAGGATATGCTCTCAAGCGGATCAAGAAGGAGGACGGCCAGGTCGGGGGCAAGCAGGGTTTCGATTCAGCCCCCATCACCTTCGAGAAGGTTCTTGGAACCCAGCTTTCGTGTGCTCAACTCTGAGCCCTAACCCTAAACCCCTAAACCCCTGAATCCCTGAACCCCTGAACCCCTGAACCCCTAAATCCCTGAACCCCTAAACTCCTAAACCCCTAGACCCCTAAACCCCTGAACCCCTAAACCCTTAAACCCCTAAACCCCTCCTAGACCCCTAAACTCCTCCTAAACCCCTAAGCCTTTGATCAGGTCCCCATGGAGATCCAGGAGGAGTGCAACCTCCTTGGCATGGCGAGCCATCCTTTCGTCCTGCAACTCGTGAAGTCCTTTCAGTCGCTCGGCCATGTTTTGCTTTACTATACGATACGAAAATGTACTATAATGTAATAGAATATACTATAATGTATACTATACTATAATATAATATAATATAATATAGTATAGTATAGTATAGTATAGTATAGTATAGTATAATATAATGTAATGTAATGTAATGTAATATAATATAAGATAATATAAGATAATATAAGATCATATAATATAATATAAAATAATATAACAAAATATAATGTAATATAATATAATATAATATAATATAATATAACATATTATAATATAATGTAATATAATGTAATATGCTATTATGAACAGATGTTGTTGTGTTATTGTTATCATTGTTGCTCCTGTGATGCCTAAAGTCTTCTAGGGTGTAGGGGGAGTGTGCCAAATCACACTGCAGTGCTCGGTGCTCTACTGCATCGCGGAGCAGGTGAAGGATATGAGCGGCCGATGCAAATAACACGGGAAGGTGCAGTCATGTATCGTAACACAGGTAGCTCACCACAAAATCGAGCTATTCGTCGCATTTCATGGGCAGATGCAGCGGCCGAGTACATGGAACATAGTATTCGGATAGTTGGCTTCTTATACTGACAGGCAGGTAGACAGATCGAGCGGCGTGCAGTCTTGCAAATTCATGAGTCGACCATCAAACGCTCTGGGACTTACTTTTCCTATAATACTGGTAAGCCCGTATAGAACTCTTATGGAGCCATATAGAGGCCTTATAATCTCCTTCTAGGACTCTCAGTGACACCGCACCAAACCCTTACATTCTGGAGACTCCGTGAACAAGGACGGAGAAGAGCTTGTACATCCTCACCGAGCTCATCACCGGGGGGCAGCTCTACGAACAGATGCGGGACCTCTCAAGGGAAGCTCAAAGATACGGCTTAGGGCTCAGGGTCTTTTTCATGGGCTTACAGGTTCCCTTCAGCTGTTATGTTAGTTATGCTTTCTGCAAGGGTTTGCAAAGGGGACGGAGGGGTGGGGTATATAGGACTCAGGCTCAATTGGTTAGGGGTTTGGGTACCGGGTTCGGGGTTTAGGTGGAAGGTTCTCTGGAGTCCCCAGGACTCCAGGAAGTATGACAGGCAACAAGGTTGGCCGCTTTTCTTAAGAACGTCATGTGCGACAGCCATAAGCCCTTGAAAAGAGTAGAAACACCACTGCTGCCATTGCTCTGGTCTAGACTGTGCCAAAACCCACAACCCTTCCATTGGTTACCTTTGTGGCAGGCAGTCCTGCTCAGGGCGTAGCAGCAATCTATGGGGTTTCTGACGGCCTTGGACAGCCAGGGCACCCACAACCTCGCTTCATAAAGCCTGAGACACCCCTAAATCCCTAGAAGTCCTCAGCCCGGTTCTACCTACTACGTATTCCGACTGTAGCAGGGAGGAAAAGGGCCTTCAAACAAAAAAAAACCCTAGCCTTCAGGAAGCGGAAGCGCTCCGATTCGATGCCCTGAGCCCCAAACTGGATTTCCAGGACAAGATGGGCACCGCCAGTCGCCGACACGCCCAGCCGGAGCCTGACAGCTCTGGTGTGTAGCGAGTAATTTCAAGTCGATGCCCAGAGACTCCAACATTTTTTTGCCCGAATTGGCCGCATGGTTCTCGGAAGCCTCTCGTAATGACAGGGTTGGAAGAATTCGTAGTAATATCCTCTTACAGTCCCTATTTATTCTCTTCCTCGAACTCTAATATACCCCCAAACCAATTCAAGTTGCTAAGACCCCTATACGAAGACTTACTAAGAGAGAGGAAGGTAGGATACAGCTTTGGACCCATGCTTGTTGGCGCCCTGCTCTAAGCAGCAGGACCAAAATCCAGACATGTTGATTTCCACCCCAAAGCCTTCAACCCTTCAACCCTGATCCCTGAACCTTCAACTCTCAACCCTCAATCGGGTTCTTGTTAAGGGATTTAATGCAAGTTCCCTTAACGAAGCCACAAAGCCTATACCCTCCCTTGCTAGAAGCTAGAAACTCCCTTGCGGCCCCCAGGTTCTACACAGGCTCATTGGTCCTCATCCTCGAAGCACTGCACCTGGCGGGCGTGGCCTACAGGGATCTGAAGCCGGTGCCGCGGCTTCTGGGAGCTGAGGGGGGGGGGCTTTGGGCTTTCGGTGGCATAAGAGCTTCTTTAAACGAGACCCTGTTTCAGGGCCCTATAGTGCCCTCTAAGGGTCTCTAGAAAAGTGTCTATGAGGGTTCCTACAAGGGTTCCCGTACGGGTGGCGGGCCCAAGGCTTCGTGACGGTTTGCAGGTGCTTGTGAGGTTCTTAGAAGGGCTTGCTTGACACGTCACCAATACTGTTCCTTGGGGTTCCTTACGATAACCATGCCATAACATACCCCACCCCGTTCTCGACTATTCGATCTATCGGTGCAGGGCTTCAGGAAATGCCGGGATGTAGGCCTTCAGAGAGGTTCGCAGATCTCGGTTTTGGAGGCTCCTTCGAGGTCCACGGCTGTTGAGGCTGATAGACTTTCGCGGTTTGGGAGTGGTTCGAGGGGGCTGGCATGGAGGCCACGAATGTCTGAGTGCGTGTGGGAGCTATTTCGATTGCGAGCCGTGGAGGGAGCCTGAAGCCCTGTGCCGAAAACGCCTCGAAGTTCTGGAATAACTAATGCTTCAACCCTTCTGAGGAGAACGTGATGCTGGATTCTCAAGGCTACGTCAAGTTGGTCGATTTCGGCCTGGCGAAGGACGTCAGAAGTGTAGTGGGTGGCCCAGAGACTCCAACATCCCTTAATTGCACAGAATATACCTTAAAATATACTAGGGATCCCTACTATACTTCGAGGTACGTTCCCTAATTGAGAGATATTTGGAGTCCTCTGAACCCTATCCCTTACAAGAAACCCTTAAAGGAGCCCTTCTAGATCCCTTCAGAGGAATATTGGAGTCTCTGGGTTTAGGATCCTGTCGAGTCAGCACCGAGCCGAAGCGCCGAAGGCTCTCATTTTTCCCATGCTCGCTACTTCCGCGAGGCTGCACGTCGCAAGCCCTTCAGTATGTCGTGCACATGTATACGCACATGTTGTGTATATATATATATATGTGGCAGGAACCTTTATGTATAATGTGACTTCCTCCTTGGTTTTGCATTAGGTTTACTACAGACTGCATCTTACAACATCGTGTGGTATAGGCTGACAAGAAAAATCGCCTACCTCATCTTCGACAAAACGTGACCAAAAGCTTCCTCCAAGTTTATGAGAAAGAAGATAGCTGCATTACGAGACCAAGAGCTTCCTCCAAGTTTATGAAAAAGAAGAGATCTGCATCTCAAGAGAACAGAGGCCCTGTAAAAACATCGAGAAAGAAGAGAGCTCCGTTTATCCTTCAGTCGGCAAGAAAAGGAAAAGTCAGGATCTTGACAGTCCCTTTCACTTCTTCAAAAGAGAGACGGAAGAGAGCATACGCTCAAGAAAGGGTGGAGCTCCCCCAAGCATCAAAAGAAAGGAGACAACTGGTCCTCTCTCCAGCCTTCAAAAAGAAAAAGGCAAGTCCCCTACCTCATCCGCTCTTGTAAGAGAGCTCCTGTCTACAAGAACTCCTTGACCTCTTGGTAGGTCTCCAACTCCTCGGAAGCTGGCTCCTAGCAAAAGAAGACAAAGCTCTTCCAGTCTTAAACAGACGAACATAGAGTTAGAGCTCCTCTACCTCGTGGTCAGCCAGAGATGAGCTTCTTTTCCTTATATGGGTAAAAGAAGAAATCCCCTGGAAGGTCCTCTACCGCAGCATCTCGAAGAAGCAGAGAGCCCCTTGCAACTTCACGAGAAAAAAAGCAGCTCCGGCTGCCTCTTAGTCGAAAATAAGAGAGAGAAGAGCTCCTTGTCGTCCCCTCTTCCTCTTCAAGAGATAGAAGAAAGTTCACTCTCAAAATGTGAGGACAGAGCTCCCTTAACCTTTAAACGAAGAGTCTGGTCCTCCCCTCAACCTTCAACAAGAAATGAGCAGCCCTCTACCTCATCCTCTGGAACAAGAAAAAACTAGCTACTCGTGGCAAGAGAGGATTTTCCTGAAGAGACTTCCTTAACCTCTGGGTAGGTCTTCATTTTATCTGTAGAGGAATGAAGAGCTCCCACTCCTAGCACGAAAGGACAAAGCTCCCCCAGCCTACAAAAAGAAGAAACGAGCTTCCTCCAATTTCATGACAAAGAAGAGAGGTCCATCTCGAAAAAACAGACAGACCCCGTCAAACCGTCGAGACAAAACAAAGCTCCGCCTACCCCTCAGTCGGCAAGAAGACACCTCCTTTCTCTCTAGGTAGGGGGAAGATCGAGATCGTGACAACCCCCTTTACGTTTTCAAAACAAAGACGGAAGAGAGCATACCCCCAAGAAAGGGTGGAACTCCCCAAGCTTCAGAAGCTGGACGGGGTAGATGGTCGGGCGGCGCCAGGGCCCTCGCCATCGACGGGTCAAAAGAGAAATCTGGTCCTCCCCCAGCCTTCAAAGAAAAGGTAAGTCCGCCACCTCATGCTCCAAAACAAGAAGAGAATCCCCCCAAGTTATTCGTTGCAAAGGAAGAGAGAGCTTCTTTCTAGCAGAGACGTGGCAAGTCACTTTGTAAGTCTTATAGGAAGATTGAAATAGCCTCGCTCCTAGCAAGAGAGGCCAGACTCCCTTAGCTTCCAAGAAGAAAGTCCTTTACCTCGTCCTCGACAAGAAGAGACTGAGAGCTTCCGCCAATCTAATGAGACAGAAGGTCAAAGAAACAGACAGGCCCCGCCAAGCCATCGAGAAGGAAGAAAGCTCCGTTTACCCTGTCGGCAAGAAAAGACCTCTTTCTGTCTACGTAAGGGGAAAATATCGTAGCTATCTCCTTTAACTTTTCGAAGAACGGAAGAGAGCAGACGCTCAAGAAGAAAGGTTGGAGCTCCTTCCAACCGTCAACAAGAAAAATCTGACCGGCCTTCTCAGAAAAAGTCCCCCACCTCATGCTGCAAAACAAGAAACGAGTCTCCCCAAGTTATTCGTGATAGCAGAAGGGAGCTTCTTTCTAGCAGAGAGCTCCTTCATCTCGTTGTAGGTCGCTTTTTTAGTTTTCAAGATTGAAGAGGCCTCGCTTTTGGTAATAAAGACCAGAGTTCCCTAGCTTCCAACAAGAAAAGTCGTCTACCTCGTCCTCGACAAAACGAGACCAAGAGCTTCCTCCAAGTTTATGAGAAGGAAGAGATCTGCATCTCAAGAGAACAGACAGGCCCTGTAAAAACATCGAGAAAGAAGAGAGCTCCGTTTATCCTTCAGTCGGCAAGAAAAGGAAAAGTCAGGATCTTGACAGTCCCTTTCACTTCTTCAAAAGAGAGACGGAAGAGAGCATACGCTCAAGAAAGGGTGGAGCTCCCCCAAGCATCAAAAGAAAGGAGACAACTGGTCCTCTCTCCAGCCTTCAAAAAGAAAAAGGCAAGTCCCCTACCTCATCCGCTCTTGTAAGAGAGCTCCTGTCTACAAGAACTCCTTGACCTTATAGGTCTCCAACTCCTCGGGAGCTGGCTCCTAGCAAAAGAAGACAAAGCTCCTCCAGCCTTAAACAGACGAACATAGAGTTAGAGCTCCTCTACCTCGTCGTCAGCAAGAGATGAGCTTCTTTTCCTTATATGGGTAAAAGAAGAGATCCCCTGGAAGGTCCTCTACCGCAGCATCTCGAAGAAGCAGAGAGCCCCTTGCAACTTCACGAGAAAAAATGCAGCTCCGGCTGCCTCTTAGTCGAAAATAAGAGAGAGAAGAGCTCCTTGTCGTCCCCTCTTCCTCTTCAAGAGATAGAAGAAAGTTCACTCTCAAAATGTGAGGACAGAGCTCCCCTAACCTTTAAACGAAGAGCCTGGTCCTCCCCTCAACCTTCAACAAGAAATGAGCAGCCCTCTACCTCATCCTCTGGAACAAGAAAAAACTAGCTACTCGTGGCAAGAGAGGATTTTCCCGAAGAGACTTCCTTAACTTCTGGGTAAGTCTTCATTTTATCTGTAGAGGAATGAAGAGCTCCCACTCCTAGCACGAAAGGACAAAGCTCCCCCAGCCTACAAAAAGAAGAAACGAGCTTCCTCCAATTTCATGACAAAGAAGAGAGGTCCATCTCGAAAAAACAGACAGACCCCGTCAAACCGTCGAGACAAAACAAAGCTCCGCCTACCCCTCAGTCGGCAAGAAGACACCTCCTTTCTCTCTAGGTAGGGGGAAGATCGAGATCGTGACCAACCCCCTTTACGTTTTCAAAACAAAGACGGAAGAGAGCATACCCCCAAGAAAGGGTGAACTCTCCCAAGCTTCAGAAGCTGGACGGGGTAGATGGTCGGGCGGCGCCAGGGCCCTCGCCATCGACGGGTCAAAAGAGAAATCTGGTCCTCCCCCAGCCTTCAAAGAAAAGGTAAGTCCGCCACCTCATGCTCCAAAACAAGAAGAGAATCCCCCCAAGTTATTCGTTGCAAAGGAAGAGAGAGCTTCTTTCTAGCAGAGACGTGGCAAGTCACTTTGTAAGTCTTAGGAAGATTGAAATAGCCTCGCTCCTAGCAAGAGAGGCCAGACTCCCTTAGCTTCCAAGAAGAAAGTCCTTTACCTCGTCCTCGACAAGAAGAGACTGAGAGCTTCCGCCAATCTAATGAGACAGAAGGTCAAAGAAACAGACAGGCCCCGCCAAGCCATCGAGAAGGAAAAAAGCTCCGTTTACCCTGTCGGCAAGAAAAGACCTCTTTCTGTCTACGTAAGGGGAAAATATCGTAGCTATCTCCTTTAACTTTTCGAAGAACGGAAGAGAGCAGACGCTCAAGAAGAAAGGTTGGAGCTCCTTCCAACCGTCAACAAGAAAAATCTGACCGGCCTTCTCAGAAAAAGTCCCCCACCTCATGCTGCAAAACAAGAAACGAGTCTCCCCAAGTTATTCGTGATAACAGAAGGGAGCTTCTTTCTAGCAGAGAGCTCCTTCATCTCGTTGTAGGTCGCTTTTTTAGTTTTCAAGATTGAAGAGGCCTCGCTCTTGGTAATAAAGACCAGAGTTCCCTAGCTTCCAACAAGAAAAGTCGTCTACCTCGTCCTCGACAAAACGAGACCAAGAGCTTCCTCCAAGTTTATGAGAAGGAAGAGATCTGCATCTCAAGAGAACAGACAGGCCCTGTAAAAACATCGAGAAAGAAGAGAGCTCCGTTTATCCTTCAGTCGGCAAGAAAAGGAAAAGCCAGGATCTTGACT